CCCCCCCCCCCCCCCCCCCCCCGTAGCCGGGTGTCTGTGTGAGTGCAGATTAGTGATTCATTGCATTTTAAACTTGGAACAGACGCGTTTCGTGTCCCTCAATTCCCTTTTGAGCCTAATACTTAGATAACTGCTCTATGACCCTGTCCAATGATATTTGACTCAGCGATTTAGCGGAGACACATCTGCTTTAAAAAACAAAAACAAAGGCTTGGTGATTGTTGGACCTCCAGGACTGTCTGGTCCATTCACATTATTTACAATAAGCCCTCAGATTTCTGAATCAGACATCTGATTAACTGATTCCCAGTTGTCCCCAGGGCTAATGGGAATAAATACCCCGAATTCTCAGTCTGACGGCAGCCTCCGACACATCAGTCTGTCGGTGACTCACCTCGTTAGGCACATGAGCGCATACAAAACACACACGCATACGTATACAGGTATAATTATTTTTCTGTATATGAGTATAATATACATTCATACAACAGATGCAAAAACATGGTAAACATCTTTTACAAAAGATACAAAAGGCAATAATTCAAGTATTTCTGTTCAATGTTGGAGCATTGTTATACTGTGTCGTTCCATGTGCTGTACAGCTCATATTGCACAATATGTGCTTGCGATATTGAAATCTTTGCTTGTATTAAAATAATCAGAAACTACACAGAAACTAAGTAGCTACACCACATGAAGCTAACTTTAGTGTTTTACTTTACACAACTCACATCAAACCTGAGTGAGTTAATGAGACATCTTGTGAGTAATATTCACGCTTTGCACTAACCGGATCATGTCTTTATTTGTTTATTTGTTTATTTATTTATGTGTTCAATGCAGGGCGACAGTAAAAGCGGGCCTGTCATTCAGTGCGGCGCGGCCCAGTGACTCAGCGCTGTGGGACATCGTAGTGAAGCCTGGCAGAGAAGCGACTCCCAACACTGTCTCCGTTGTCTGCCAGAGGAAGGTTGCTGTCACCGCAAAGAGGTCAGTCTTGTACTTTCTCCACCCATGACAAAAAAAACTTGTTATTATCTCTCATTCTCTTTATTTTCTGAGATATCAATGCTGCTACCGTGAAGAAAATCAATCAGTTATCATAAACAGATCTTCAATGTTACATTTTACAGGAAAAATAATAATTTCTGGTCTTGGACACAGCGATGTAAAGACTGTAAGCAGCCAATTAAACACAATTTAGTTTTTGTCTGTGTAAAAGTGTTGCTGCATCAGTTTTCATGTGGAAGACTTGCTTTTGTCGGTAGAGGTAAGAGTACATGCACCTCTCCAAAAATCAGCATAAGAAGAAATGCGTTTTAAAAAATGCAAACCCTCTCTGCTTATTGCTGACCCTTTTCTGCGAAGGAGTTCTTCCATCAGGACTGACAGTCTACGTATTTTTAAAACCCGCAGAATATTACAGCGAACCTGCAGGAACAAGAACACTGTAAAAACATCGGAAGGAATAAATCCAAAGCAACATATAAACAGTTCAGAGTAGTTATTTGTGTTGTTTGAATAGTCAGTCCCCAGCTGTGTTCAGTTTTCATTAGGATGCACTGAAGAGGTTAATGAGACACAGCGATGTTCAAAAATAAAAGATGGATAATTGGGGCTTCCATGTTCGCAAATCTGGAAAAACTCAGCTTACTGAGTTCCTTTTGATTTTCATTATATTTTCCGAAAATACTTCCGAAATACAGCATTTCAATCTATAGCCTCAGTTGTTATTGGATAAGATCTATATGTCTCATCCTATCTGATATTATTAAATGAGTTGGTTATTTGGGGACGTCATATATGCTAAATTCCTGTTTCCATTAGCGATCATCCTAAATTCTGTAGGATCACCAGAATGGGGATGATCACTAAAATAAAATGTAATTGAGTTCTTCTACCTCTATTGACTTTATTGTACATGAATATAGCACTTCCCCTGCATGATTTAACTGATACACACCAGTTATTCTCAACAATTTTGCCTGACGCTGGTGGTGGTGGCGGCACACACCGACAGCCACCTCTGCCCAGCAACCTCCCGCCCACACAGGCCGCCGTCCGCCCGACCCACTTATGCGTAATCATTCATAATCACGGCTACGTTATCCAGGCTTAAGCGCTTGCACGTTCAGAAGGGGAGATTAGGAAGGAGAGATATTCCAAGTTGTATGTCCCTTCTGCTGAGCCCCCACCAGGAAACACACACACACACACACACACACACACACACACACACACACACACACACACACACACTCCCTCCACTGTGCTTTGAAGTGATGATACATCCAGGGGTTTAAAATTTCCCCTGATAGATGGATTTCCAGGAAATAAGGACATTAACCCCTTCTGTGTTTCTCGGTCTGGCTCTCATGCACTCTCTCGCAGTATTTTCTGTGTGAATTATTTCAATCATTTTAAAATCAGTCCATTTTATTGAAGAAAAAACAAGAAGACGACACATTTAGTAGACAGTATAATTGGACTTAGTGTGGAACACTTTAATTTGGCAAGCTTTCAGGTATATTTGCCTCAGTCACACATGACTTCATATGAAGTTAGTCTCTTGATCATTAAGACTCTGTTGCTGGTTGTTAAAGACATTTTGGGAAATAAGGTTATTTGCTTTCTCGGCGAGAGTTAGATGAGTTTCTTATCAAACTCTTGTTTCTCTTGTGAAGCGAATAAGCACATTTCCCAAACTTCTCCTTTTTAAAAGTGAGAGGGTTGTTTGGTTGTTAGTGAAATGACTCGGCAGAAGTTTCTCGTTGTGGAGCTTCAACGTGGTATCACTGACCCTCTGTGAGCAGCAGCAGAATGTCTTCATCAAGAGAAGAGAAACATGGGAAATCCTAATTGAACTCAGCTTGAATTGCGAGTCTACTGCCTGGAGCATCAGCTAGAGTTTCACACTCATAATAGATGATTTTATAATATCTGCGGCCTGTACTTTTAATCTCTAACCACGCAGTGATGCAAACGAGCAAACTCCTTGAGTTCTTTTAGATAGAGCGTCAGTATTTCTGCATGTTTCATACATGTATAGGCTTTTCAATATTCATGACTTTTTTTTTTTAAATGTGAGTTTTAACCATGTACTGTAGAGGTTCATTGTTTTGCTTTATGCAAAGTTTTGTTCCACTTCAAGGTGCCGCAGCTCCATTCACATTCTGCACTTTCTTCTCTTTGATCTGTTCCTACTGGCAGGTACTCTCTCCAGCATCAAATAACATCACGTGCCTTTTCTTTGACAATCCTTTGACCAGAATACTCAAATGGCTCAAGTCTCTGCTGGCTCACTTAATCTTCCTTCCACACTCTCACCTCATTCTTCCATCAGCTGATGGAAATGAGACCCCTTGTGTTTTGCACTCGCTTTCAGTTTAAACTCTACAGTTTGTTTTTCACAATAACTCTTTGACATTTTTTCGTCGGCAGTCTCTTTGCAAATATCCACATTTCTTTCCCATGGCACACGAGAGTTCACAGCTCATCTCAGATCCTTCTGCATTGAAGCATCTTTGTTTCTTGACACAAGTATTCTATAAAAAAAAAGAAGTAAAATATGACAGCTTCCAGAGGTTTGATAACAAATACTAGGCAGGACGACATTAGGTGTCACCTGCTTGTCTTGGTTATTTAACTGCATCGCTTCTAGTAATTTAACAAAATAATCCTCAAAATAAAGCACAAGTTGTAGTTCATGTTTCATCATTCCACAATCAAACCCATGAAAACCCATGAAATTCCATTTGGGTTAATTTTTCATATAGTATCTTCCAGAAATACATAGCCATGATTTTTCTACATATACTGAATTGTCTGAATTAATGGTAAATGTGAAAAACAACACAATTTTCATCCTATATATTAAACACTGAATTCATAAGCATTAAAACCACCCTTGCTCAACTTCATACGCTCACAGGTTTTGTCCTGACAGCTTTACTTGGTCAGGTATGACCAGTAGCTTATGGTGGCTAATGCTAGCTAGCTAGAGTTTGTGGTGTTGCTGACATTACAGTTCACTGACTCATGAACTTATTTACTTCTGCTACTGTTATACTATGTTTTAGCATTTGCCATGTTCCCCTTAATGAGCCACTTGTGGCTGTATTTTCCGTCTTTCTGCAAAGGTTACCATATACCATGGCTTGCTTTAACTTGTATTTTAAAATGCTATCTCTAAACAGGGGTCTTCTGGAAGTTTCACAACTGGACTTTGTGCCAAAAGATGTTTCAGAGCAGGCTGAGAGTCAGACGATCTCCTGGCGTCTGGAGTTGCCAGGGAACGTCAAAGATGTGGGCATAATGCGGATCTACACAACTCAGAGGGATTATGTGGGGCTGGCACCTCTGGTCATGGTGAGGACAATATCTGTATTCATTTCTGTGTTGTTAAAAATACTGACTTACATATAAACACTGCAGTACCCGCAGGGTGTGCAGTAAACAATCTATTGCAATCTTATTGATCCTGATGTTCGAGGAAGAAGGAGGCCCTATATAAAGTGGACAAAGGATGGAGAGAATCTGTTAGTTATAGACCCCAGGTCACTTGGCTTTGCCACAGGTTGAATTTCATGCACTAAACTTCCTGATGACTCCCTCAACGCGTAAAACAAGATGAGACAATCATAAATTCACAGTTTTAAGTTAGTTTATTCTGCAAGAAAGGGTCAATAATGGTCTCCTGGATGTAGAGAAAAGTGTTACATCCGTTGGTCGTACAGATATTTCAGTGTTTGTCCATCTGGATGAGACATCATTGGCCTCCTTAAAGACATGTCCCCTCATTTGCATGGTTTTATCTGATTAAACTCGAGCACATTCTGGTCATACAGTTAATTGTTGTTTTTAAAGAGAATACAAATAATACCCTGTTATTAGCTAGTCTTGTTACCAATTATTTTTACTCCATAGGTCTGCGCTGCAGAGTTCGCCAGGTTTCAAATCACCTCTGCCCGTTTGCAAAGACATTTTATTATCAATGATGCACAAACATTTCTTTTGATGCCTTAGACCAGGGGTCTTCAATGTTTTTCAGGCCAAGGACCCCCAAACTGATAGAGAGATGGAGCAGGGACCCCCGACTATATATATTGTATAAAATTGTGTTTTCTATTAAACTGGACCTAGTGCCATGTATAAACATGCCTCTTTATTGTTAATTCAAATAATTATTCAAATAATAATACACAGGTTCATATATTCATGTTTATATTTTAAAAATGTGCAAGGTACAGTGAGTAGGGAGGCCGTGCCACTGCCATTTATAAACATACCGTGTCAGCTGATACCAATGCTAATATCAACATTGTCTGTCAATTGCATGATAATCATGCACACAAGCTATTCACATTGATGTTTTCATTTTAAACGTGGAAACGAAAAATGAGTGATGGCCTATTAGTACCACTGCCATGCATAAAGATACCTGTTATCTTTCATACAATACTGAACTATTAAAATAATGGACAGATTCATGTTTAGAGAATTTTTTATTTTTTTAAATTGTCTAATCAACCAAAAATTTCGCGGACCCCCTGTTGAAGACCTCTGCCTTAGACTGATTCCCTGCTGCTACATTTGAATGCAACCATCAGAAATGACAAGCTACAGTATACGTGCATGTCTGTCTTTGACAGGAGATTCAGTAAGCTATTTCATGATGCAATAATCAACACGAATCAAACATGCATTGGCAAATATATTTCATCTCTGTCACTTACAGCATTTTTCTCCCCTAACTGTGGAACGAATAGACTTATTTCATATGTAGTCTGTGGCTCTTTTCCTTTAAAGTAAAGTTGTTGTGGCTTTATGTTTATAGCAGAACAAATGACTGTTACAACCACATGTCATCCACTCCACCACCTCAGATGTAAACACATTTATTTGCATTTATTGCAATCAGTATTGAAGGAAAGTGAAGGAAGTGCATGGTGGATTTTGCCTCACAGCAAAGCAGGCTGTGTGTTTGACTTTCTGACCTTTCTTTGTAGTGTTTGCGTGTTCTTCACATGTCAATGAACTGTTTATCCCATTTATATAACCCTATAAAGGATTCACAATACCAATTCTTACCGCTGAGTGTAACGATAACACTGTTTTCAGAGAAGAAACAGATTTAAAACAGTGCGGAACTACTCGATCACTCTGAGGCAGATTACCGCCGAGCTAGCGGAAACATCGGCAGTCGAGATCTCTCACAGTTATTGCCTTCTGATTTTGTGCTGCCCACGATGCAGTGGCTTATGTTTGGGTCAGTGTCGCAGTCTGAAGTAGAGCATGTCCTTTTTTGAATTGCGGTCAGCAGCTGTAAAGCCAACAGAGTTCAGAATATGAACATCTGCCAAGTGTTGTCTTATCCACATGCATCATGCAATACCTATAATAGATTTAAAAGACCTTATCAGAGATCTTGTAAACTGCAAAGTAGTTGTAAATCCATGTTGAAGAGTAAGAATAATGCTACATCAGGCTTGATGTATAAGAGCTAAGCTGCTGCTAAACATTGATTAAAGATGTACTGTACAAGGTGAGGAAAATGGTTTATTTCGAGGTTATTTACGATATGAATAAAACGACACAGCTGAGGATTTATCTGCTTCCAGGTGTGTGAGTTGGTGAGAGACAGACATGTACTGTATAATATCATCACAGAGAGATTTTGTTTTTCAGCCCATCTGTCCAGTCTTGCATCAGTGTGGTTTTAAACGAATCAAGTTTGTGATGCTGCGAGTGTTTTAATCTCCTGTTAGTCCTGCTACAGTAGCACTCTCTGCCCTGTCCTCCCTGCCCCCGTACGAATAGTGATGATTGTTAAAACCACACTGCAAAAAATACTCTGTTACAAGCAAATCCTCACATTTGTGAAGCTGGAACCATGAAATGTTTTTGCGTGAAAAATGACTTGGAACGATTTGCAAAATAATTGGCAGTTAATATTCTGTCAAACTTACAGTAAAGTGTCTAAAGCCTGCATTCTTTCTATATACTTTCACCCTTATAACAAAGCAGGCTTGTAGATGGTTTGGGTTTTAGAGGAATGATGCTAAGTTTATTTGATATGGTGGATAATAAAAGTCTCTTTGTGCAGTTTGATGTGCTGATTCAGAAAAAGTTCAAGTTCACCTGTAGCCATAGCTCAATTGCTGGTCGCCTATGGGCTCAGGTAGTAGCTCTTCACAAAGGTATAATACACCTTCTTCAACATAATTACATCCAAGATTATTAAGAAGATGTGGAGGAATTCATATCAGCCTTTAACCTTCAAGCTACACTAACACATATAACAATGCATCCACAAGTTTGTCCTATTCTCATTAATGTTGCCCTCCTTTCTGCACAGCACACTGATATCTTGAACACCGCTGTGCTGACGGGTGAAACGGTCTCGGTACCTGTGAGAACTCTGGCTGTTGAGGCCGATGGCTCAGTCACCGACGTGACCAACTACACCAGCTGTAGGTCTACAGAGGAGGATGTACTCAAGGTAAACCATTTCACCCCCGCGCTTAATCAACCGGGATTGAAATACTCACTGTAATCACTTCTGTGTTGCTTGTGAATGTATTTGCTTCATGTCTGCACCAATGGAAAAATACAGTGATTTAGCGTTTACCATCAGGCTCAGAATATTCCTTGTTTTTGCTTTAGAGCAATTGCACTGCCAGAATTATGGAAACGCATGCATATGCATGTTCAACGAGAGATATTTAGTACAAGACTTTTCAACAGAGTTTCACTTTAGTACCTTAGTTGTTTCCTGTGAAGATGGAAGTTTATTTTGAAAAGACAGCATGCATGTAACAAGCGAAAACAGACTCATGTTGCTGGACTTTTGCAGGAAAAATGCACGAAAAGTGAGGAGTAATTTTTCGTAAGATATCAATAAAACGGGGATGAATTTATATCATTGTATAAAGAGAGTGACATGAGAAGATCAATCTCATGTCTGTAAGTTAAATCAGCTATAATCACTATTTTAAAGTGATTAGTGACTCGTCTAAAACATTTAAAAAAGGAATAACTTCAATAGAATCATTCTATACACTGTAGCTTCTTTACATTCTATTAGAATGTAAAGAAGCTACATTGTATTACAATGCAACTTCTTTACATTCTATTAGAATGTAAAGAAGCTACATTGTATTACAATGCAACTTCTTTACATTCTGTAAAGAAGTTACATTCTATTAGAATGTAAAGAAGTTACAGTGTTGCCTTTTCTTTTCTTCCCGCAATAACGTAATTTTGTCAGGTTGATAAAAAATGTCACTTTACTTCCTGACATTATTGTTATTTTACCGCAGGGGTGTCCAAACTTTTTTCAAAGAGGGCCAGATTTGATAATGTGAAAATGCCCAAGGGTCAACAGTCCCTACTGACATTATTTCAAACAATACAAGTAGCCTATACATACATTGTTATTTAATCATTTTATTTTCAATGACAGCACATAGCAATGTAACCAAATGTAAGCATTCATGTATGAACACATCTCAACAACTATTCTGCCTTTCTTTCACATCTTGAAAGTCAGATAACACAGAGAACAAGCCATCTAAAAGCTAATTACATAGAAACCGATCAATGTTCTCACCTCAAGACAATCTTAAATATGACTATTAGTGAGGGTAATGAAAAGTTGTCTCACATTTAACTTCAACACACATGAAACAGGCTAACGAAACAAATCAAGTTGTCTCTTAGTATGTGATGATAGCTCTTCAGTGTTACGAGCCAGGCAAACATTAGCAAACTCGGCCTTCTTCTCGGGGCAATTATGTTTTCTGCTATTTTCATAACAGTCTTTGATAAACTCACCTTCCGTAAAAGGTTTGTCATGTTTAGCAGTTAGCATGGCCACTTGGTAGCTTACTTTGATGATGTTTTCATGTGAAAAGGACCGCTGCTGTGTGGCCAAGTTATCGTGGAGTTGCTTCACTTTTCTAGCTCGGTCGCTCTGATAGCTTGTTGTAGCATTAGCATGTTTGGTCTCGTAGTGTCTCTTTACATTATATTCCTTAAACGAGGCAACAGTCTCATGACTAATTAGGCAGACACAGTTGTTTCGGTTTTCGGTGAAAAAAATATTGCGATCTCCACCTCTCCTGGAAGCGGCGGCCCTCATTATCGACTTTCCTTTTGTTACTTGCCGTAACATGACAGGTCAAGGGTCAGAGCCCATTTCAAACAGCCAGACAGTTACAGAGTGGTGCTGCCACCATGAGGTAAAAAGAGGAATTGCATGTTGAATTTGTATGATTTATTCATTCCGTTTTGACTGTGCTGGCGGGCCATAAATAATGCATTTTAAGACAGAAGGTGCGGGCCACATAAAATCTGGCCTCGGGCCATGATTGGCCCGCGGGCCGGACTTTGGACATGCCTGCTTTAGTGCATCAGTTCATCTTAATTCTTTTTATGCACACTCTACAGTATGCACAGATAATACAAAATGTAACTTTTTTATGACAAAAACAGTCAAAATAATTATGTATAACTCCCAAGACATTCGATTTCACCGTGCCATCATACTCACCAGGTCTCTGTGTGTGTGTGTGTGTGTGAGAGTGTGTCAAAGCATTGTGGATAAAAGCAGCCTCTTCCATATGGCACTGGAGACTGAGCCCATGATCCCAGCACTCAGTCCACAAGCACAGTGGTTTGACCTTTATGCAATGGATCTACTGTATGTTACTGGCACAGTAGGAGCAAAGAGAGGGAGACGGAGACGAGAATAATAGAGAAGAAGAAAAATAATTATATGGTTTTCCATTAGACGACACAAGTGTGTGAGCTTAAGAGAGTGAGAAAGAGCCAAAATAGGGAGACTGTGTTTATAATGATTTTCTGTATCAGTAGAGGAACTTAATCCAGTTATTATTGTATCTCTGAATAGTCTCTTACTCTTCCTGTCTTTGACCCCTCTTAGAGCAAAGCCACAAGCCAGATGAATTCGGTAAAGATTGAACTCTTACGTTTAGCTATAGGATTAGTTGTGTGTAGTGGAAAGAGCAAAATTGTTGTGTGGTTGCGTGTTTGACCTCTTTACAGAAACATATATAGATTTTTCTTGCCCACTCGGGGCCAACAAACAAGCTAACATATTAACATATTATGACATTATAAAATTGTTATGTGGATCAATCAAACAGCTGCCTGTTTGCACATTTAGCAGACGGCCATCTGTTAAATGTACGTAACTTCAATACCCACTCTGCTTTTATCTCTGATTTGTGCTCCACCAACCCATGAATCTGTAACTTTGTCAGTTATCAGCAAATTGTTTCTGCTGAAGACGGCTGTTAAAACAAACCAAAACAATGAGCCGGAAGTTCCTAATTCGATCCATAATTCAATATATTCATTGGTGCAGCTTTAACTGCAAAGCATGTGTACTTTACACTTGTGTTGACTATTTAGAATACATACAATACTGCCTATAAAAAACATTCAAACACAACTTGGGAGTTTTTAGATGCTATTCTCCTTTGAATGCTACTTGTAATTGTTTTTCTTAATGTGTAACCACTGTTTAGTGCATCTATTTATGTTTGTATGTTGTAAATTCCTATACTGTGTATATCATCATGTGTGCAGGTCTTTCTTGAAAAAGATAACTTGATCTCAATGAGATTAATTGTTTAAATAAGGGATTAGATCAATGCATTTGCATGTCACGTTAAATGCAGATTGATTTGAAAAGTCTTCACTGTGTTTTCTCATGATTTTTTTAATTTGACAATTATGAACTCCTAATATCTCCCAATATCCTACTGTAATGGAATCACAATCGAAGTTTCACGACTCTGCTTATAGGTTTTCATAATGGACAGAGATGAATGGAAAACAATGGCAATGGAATGGTGGATTAAACATTTAGATTTCTAAAGCACAGCAGGATGAATTACAAAATGGGTAGCTGTATGAATAGGTGATGGGCTGAAACATGCAAAACCACAGGTACTGCTATTTAAAAATGCAATATTCTCAATCTACAGTAGGCCCACAACAGTGCATGTATACAGGAGGCTGACCACCAAATAGTAAAAAAGGAAGAGCTAAAACAATGCCCAAAGAAACATTTTAAATAGTAGGATAAAGAATGACTCCTAAAGTTTTAAAGGTGTTGCTTTTCATCCACATCTCTCATTACTGATCTGAAAAAAAAAACATGATTTAAGTGCTAATAGAATTTATTTTCTGTATCGTCGACCAATCTACACTATATGTGGTGGCACTGGAGACATCAGAGATTTTTTTTGGCATGATGGGAAAAAGGCTTCACAGACTGTTCCCCCTTAAGATTTCCACAGGAGTTCATGTTGACTTCCCTCGAAAGTCATTCCTCCCTCTGCTTTTTTCCTCCCTTTTCCCGCCTCCCCCTTCTCTCCTGTGCTGCATTCCACTCTCCAGTCTAGCGCTCTCCAATTACCGCTGTGGAGCCACTGGTTTGTTAAGATAAGTGAGGCGGCAATAGAGATAGGTCTCCAATCTTAAATAAAACACACCAACTGCTGTGTCTCACCTCATTGCTCTCACTGGTGGGGGGACTGCAACGCTCCCGCCTACCGCACAGCTCTACAGCAACAGTCATAAGGCAGATGTAGTTTATATTCCGCGGAGGTTTCATAGAGAACCTTGGTTGTGAAATTACATGACATAGACAGAAACACTGGCCAGACTTTGGAAGTTGTACAAAATGTTTAAAATGTGTGTGTTTGTGAGGTTTTAGCTCATTTGCATTGGTGCCTCTGTTCAGCCTCTCCTCTCCTTGTCAGTAAAACTTTCTCATTATTTTTCCACAGGGCTTTACATGGAAACACCTCCTCTGGTGTTTGTCTGGAGAAAGTTGAATCCAGTGAAATCACAACACGACAGTTCAGTCCCAACTCTAGTCCAGTGATTCTAAAATGACTGAGCTTTTTGAAATCATTTTCTTGCCTTATATGTTGATGTTTGTTGATGACAGACAGTCAGGTGGCGTTCATTTCCTTCTGCCAGTCGAAGTTCTCGGACCAGATTCAAACCTGGGACATTGCCTCATTCACCTTTCCTCTTTCTCCTTTTTTTCTCCTCTGCCTTGTCCAGGTGTCAGAGCGATGTGAATATGTGTATGTAAACGGGAAGGAGACAATAGGGAGGAGCAGGGTGATGCTCAACTTCACTTACGGTTTCCTGAGCGCCCAGCTGGAGATGAGTGTATGGATGCCCCGTCTGCCTTTGCTAATTGATGTGGCCGACCCCGAGCTCAGCCAGATCAAAGGCTGGCGAGTCCCTGTTATTACAGGCAGCAGGAGGTAAGGCCGGGCCAGTTGTGTGTCATTGATGCATTGCTATACATCTTGTTATTCCTAGATCTCCTTTTAGCATGATTGTGAGGGTGCCATGTGAAAAAGAATCATTTCAAACTATTACTTGAGATCAAAGACACAGCACAGTGCTATGTATCACACTCTAGAAACAGGTATAGTAGGGGGGCAGGTTTAAAGACCTTTTCAATATATTTGTTTTGCGTACTTAAGTAATGTTACTTCCATAGTTATTTTATCCCAAACCACGATCTTTTCCTGAATCATACCAAGCAGTTTTGTTGCATGGACATAACCAAGTTGTTTCCTGTGAAGACGGAAGTTTATTTTGAAAAGACTGTATGCAAACGTGTTGGCTGGACAACCCGTGAGCACTCAAAAATGAGGAATTACTTGATATGATGCAAACCTTTGTATGAGGATACAGATCAGATCAATGACGGATAGCTAACGTTAGACATGTCCTGTTAATTGATTTGAATCGCCTGTTTATTGATTTTAAAACACAATAACAAGGCTACTAAATCTATACAACAATTTTGCTGCCCCCCCCCGACTAATTACTTCAGTCGTCTGACTTAAATCCACACCAAAAGGGCTAAATGTAAAAACTTGCAGCAGTAATAAATACATTTTTGTATGTTTGGTCAACTTAAATGTGTTTTATGTGGCATTTTCATGTAAGCAATGGATATTGTGCAGATGGAGCCGCACCCAGGAAAGGGTTGCTAGAGACCATCTTTAGTTATGACAGGAAATGTCATAACTAGAACTGAAACAATCTGTTATGCATCTTATCAGACTGTCTCTTGTAAATGTTGTACTGTATTTCCATCTCGGTTTGACAGTTCCACACTCGATTCAATCCTCCCCCCTCCCTCTCTCCTTTCACCTCAGGCTGCACTCTGATTGACTGATTCACCTGAAGCGTCTCAGTGTATTTTGGACGCATTCCATTGTGCTGTCTTCATAGAAAAGTTTGTTTATGCAGTTGATATTTAAAAGGACACGGCATCAGCTGCGGTGTTATATACTGAGTTAGCCATACATAAGCCTCATTGCGTCTTTGTGAAGTTTAAATCATCAGTTTTTGTTGACACAGTTTCAGAGAGATGGGTCATTTCTGAATCTGTAGTTAGTGGTGATATTGAATTTGAAAACAGCAAATATAGAGGTGTGTTTCTAATACTAGTCTGTCTAATGTAAATGCAGTCAGTCATAAAAACCTCCCATTTGTGTTTGGTGCATTAGTGGGTAGGACACTGTAGAGGCAACACAGTTGCCCTCGAGACAAAGGTTAGTGGAATTGCACTCAATACTTACAGTAAAGTCGTTATTTTTCACTCAATACTAATGTTGATGGTCGACTGATGGACTGTGTTTTGTCTCCAGGGTAAAAACTCTTTGAGGCTTCCATTTCCCATAACATTCAATACCCACAAACAGATTCTGGGAATAGGTCAGAAATGTGACGTTTCTATGGATATTGTAACGGCCAGTCTCGGCTTTTCTGTGCAATGCTCGCTGTGTTACTGCACGCTACAGTGTCGGACATGTGCATTCTTTGTGGGAGAGAAGCAACTGGGATTTCTGTGTTATTAATAGCGACATAATAGACTGGTAATAAACTTTGGGCTAACTTCTGTTTGCTGTGAAACTGTGGATTCATGAAACATCCTCTCTCTGGCTTTGCTTTCTTTTTCTTTTCTTTTCTGTGTGGGTACCATCAGGTTGTAAAACCCATGATTTACAGCAAAATATTCACTTTTATTTAATCTCTGTTGGTTTCAAGATTGATTGAAATAAACACTTGTAATCAGTTAACACAAAACGAGTTTGATTAAAACTAATAACAACATTTGACCTGCCTGGCAACCCAATATAATGACTCAAGGGTCATCAACGAACTAATATAGAAGTTGAGTAACCATGGCAAAGAGACTCAAGATAAAAACATAAACCTTTTGTGTGTTTTTGGAAATCAGTTAGTCAGTAAAAAAATGCAATTGAGTAAATTGTTGGTACTATGAATGCTGATATTTCAAAGACTTGTACTTGGAACTAAAGACAAATAAAATAATATAAAGAGAGAGGGTTTACTTGAAATAGGTTTATTCCTGCAGGTGGAAGCCTGGTAACGTATTAATAACCTGCATGAGTTGGAAGAAGGATGGAGGAAAGACTTAGTTAGCTGGCTTGTGTTGAGTCCCACTTACTTTCAGGCAGCATCTCCATCACATGTAAAGCTCTGACCTTAGGCTATATAATAATGATGTTTATTTGGACTGTAGTGCCTGACAGTAGCTTCCTGCCTGCAGTATGAAAGCACACCCACCAGCCCTCCAGCACACCTGTGGTGTAGTGCGTGGCAGGCCAGCTGTGCTTACGATAATTATACAGAATGATCATTGCTGAGGGGTTTGAGGATGGTTCACAGCTTAACCTCCATCACCCGCAAACAAACCAGTCGGCGGTGGGATCCTGGTCAATTAAACATATATTCATTTAGAAGTAAAGGTCACTCTGCAAATGTTTTGTCCCTCAAAGGCGTCAACAACCACGCTGCTGGTCTCCAGTATTGTTCCTGAATTCTCTCTGCTGGCAACTAGAAACACCATTTAGGAGTTCACATTACAGATTAACTGCATGATTTTGTAGTCATTTATTATTTAAATGAGGAGAGATCAACATTTGTAGTTTGCATATTTTTAGTCTCAGTATATTTTAGTCAATAATTCAGTTAATAGTTTTGTTATGAAAGGTATAGCTCAGCAGTTTGGAAAAAACACTTATTTGCCTTCTTGAAGAAAATCGATACCACTTTCATGCCACTACATATGAAACTACAGTCAGCAGGGGGTTAGCTCTTTCATTAATGCACTTTGGTTCTTGTGTTAGAATATGAATATATAACATGTTAATTTGTGAGCTTTAGAGGTGCTGGATGGCAAATGTTTTAGCCTTGGGACAGAGCCAGGCTAGCTGTTCCCCCCTGCTTCAAGTCTTTATGCAATGCCATGCTAAGCTAACCACCTGACTGTGGCTTCACATACTGTATGTCATGTGTCTGATTACCTTTGTGTGTCAGGTCGACATGGGACAGCGAGGAAGAGGAGGAGATGAGGAAGGGCAGGGGCTGCATGCTGCAGTACCAGCACTCTACACTCAGGGTGCTAACAGCATTCATAGCCCAGGCTGACGCTGAGGTGCTGCCTGACCCGCTTACTGGGGCGGAGCCTGTTGAGTACTTTCTGGGTCCTGACTGGCAGGTAAAAACATTCAACAGTCCGAGTCCTCACCGTCAGACAATATATAGAAGTTTGATTAAATTTGAAAAAATTACAACAGCTAGCTAGACAATAATTCTCATACACACATTTAATACGATCAACGTTTCT